GGAATAATGGTAGCACTCCTCGCCTCCCATGTCACACAATGAGCAGCAGATCTGATATACCTCAACTGACTGTTCCCTAGGAATAGTTTTGGCATTGGCTGAAAATAGTACTGAGGGTAACTTGCTTTGACCATGTGATGACACTTTGAGTTGCAAAATTACTTTCAGATAACTTGCACTGTAAAAGTAAAAATAGCACGGCACATTAGACTCATCTGTGTGGAATGTATGTATGCAAAAATAGGGCTCCTTAATACTTACAGTTTGTCTAGGGAGAACAACCTGTCATGCTACACTCTGCTTCACTTTTAGGCAAACAATTTGCACTGATAATGCTGCAGGCTGTGCTATTTCCAAGTGTTCATCAAACACGAGAGAAGCATTAATTCAGCCATTCTTTTCCTAGCTGTGACGTTCAGAAATGTCATTAGTGATCTTAGACAAAGGTGAGAGGTCACAGCTTTAGGAACAAGTGATTAAAATGTGTCTCAGTGTAACAGACTAATTAATCTTTAGGCAATAACAGGGTTTTTTTATCTCTCTTTTCTCTCTGCAGCTGGGGGTGTTCACTCTCCCTCCACAAGTATGGCAACATCGGCACAGTACAGACAGCTCATAAACGACTACGGCCCCCCATCTCTAGGCTATACACAAGGGATACAGGTACAGCTCTGCTTCTTTTCCTTTAATCAGAGCACTGACCCTACATTTGCATAGTAGCAGGGATTGTGGCCTGTAATCTGAGGTGTTCCTCCCTCCCACCAAGGTCTGAAATCAAACCCAAATGGCAGACTGCTTCCTCGCACATGTCTGGGGATCAAGTTAGGCTAAGCTGAGTGCTGAGTGAGGTTGGTTCCTAATTAACTGCCAGTTCTGTCCTGTCCGAGTCAGAGAAATGTCTTGAATTATGTTCTGTAAGGGCACTTACATATTTTAAAGTTATTTGTTAAAAGCCCAATATTTCTATTCAGTTTTATCTTCTCAGTCTCCCTGCCTGGTGAACTTCTCCATAAAATATACACTGAAACATTGAAAAACCAGTTTCAGGGTTGAGTAAGCAGTTCCAGGTTTTCTGGTTTTGCAGGACTCTTTTAACTTTGCTTCACCCAAAGTCCAAGGCTTGCAGCTGCATCCTCACAGTTGATCCCAATTTTTGAAGGGCACATAGCATTGTGTCCAATTGTAGCAGCAATTAAAAAAAAAAATCATGTTTATGTAATAATCTTGAAATTTTGTTCTTTTAAAAAGTGATTTACAGGTCTATCTCTGGTCTTCCATAAACTTCTGCTTGCTGTTTCTTGTAATTGTTTTGTTTTTACAGTATTTGACTGAGATTAATCCACTTTCAACTACAGGGCACCAGCAGCAGTCAAGTACCACAGAGCAAATATGCAGAACTTCTAGCTATCATAGAAGAATTAGGAAAAGAGATTAGACCTACATATGCTGGGAGTAAAAGTGCGATGGAGAGGCTAAAAAGAGGTAACTTTAAAATTTATTTTAAAAAAATAGTTTCCCATCCACTTTGTGCACTGATTCCTTGTATACACTTAATGACAACTGTTACTTTTGAACAGAGACAACTTGAGCTCCTCCTGAAAGTGGGAGTATTAACCAGCAACTGAAACCTTGGGATGCTCCGTCTGAGCAGTATTTGATAGATAAACAGTGACAAAAAGTGTCTCATGTGCATATGGGGAGTTTCAGTTAATAATTCCAATTAAAATAATTCTTACTGTACAACCTTTCACGGATACATTCTTTCAGGCTCCTGGTGATCTTGCCCTTTCAATTCCCTTTTCTCCCCATTCCCCAAAATGCACAGCCAAGCATTGTTTACATCTCATACCCATCACCCATCTACTTGGCCCAGGAATCTTCACTGAAGTGCACTTTGACTAAAGAAATGCAACACTGTTTTAGTTCTTACTGAGGCTGGTGGAGAAAAAAAAAAACCCAAAAAGGTGTTAGGGAAGGCTGTTCAGGCTGAGATGTCAAACGTGAACCAAACTCTGTGCAGAGGAGAGTGGGGCTGCTTAGGCTCTGTTACCTCCTGTCAAGTGCATGTCATTAAAAGTCCACTAGAAAGGGACAGAGCAGCTTTTAGGGTTGGCTGATGAGTGTCTCCAGCTTTGCTTTGTCAGCCAAAAGGGGTAATAAAGCCCTTTCCTTGCAGTGTAAAAGAAACCCCTGCATGTCCCACTGCTGACATCAGCCTGACATTGTCCTCTGCAGGGGACGTGCGGGGATATTTCTGAAGGAGCAGTGGGACATTCCACTGCTCCAGCCCCTGAAATGACTCTGAAAGGCCACAGACAACAGTTGTACTGGCAGTTCTCTCCTTCTCTAGCATGACATGCTTACTTTTTCCTCCCTTCCTCTGGTCCTTGTGATGAGATTGGCTCATGCATTCAACCCAGAATGGGAATGTTATTGTAACAGACTAAGTTCAGCACCTTGCAAATCCCCCTTACACTTACCCGAGACTACAAAGCTTTATTTAAGGCTCAGGCATTATGGAAGAGTAATATATCTGCCATGACATGCAATAAAATGACTAGTAGCTGTTCTGGGAAAGGATGCAATAAAGTCTGCTGATGAGTGGTAAGTGGAATCTGGCCCAGCTAAAATCAATGTTGCTGGAGTCTCTCTTTATTGCATTGCCTGAATCAGTATTAATAGATCATGAATGGCAACAGGCTAATGGGGACATCTTGAGAGAGACTGAGAGAGATGCAGATGTTCTCTGGACTGGATGGTTTAGTTCAGTGAGGAAAAAGTTGCTTTGCTGCCTCTTGCAACAAGGTAGGTTTAAGATACAATGCTGCCACTGTGACTTTGTGCAACACAGTGTTGCACAAAATCCTGAATAAATACTTTTTGCTGCCATCTTTTGGTCACAAAGGTACCTCTCTTTCCATTTTGGGAGCCTGGTGGCTGAAGGAGCATGTGCAAGTGTGAGAGCAGAAGTGATTGAGGGTGACACGTGACTGCTGCCTCCATGGCCATGGAAGTTATCCCTGAATAAAGTCCCTGTCCCCAGCTCTGCTACTGACCTCTAAAACTGGCCAAATTCCCAGTGTTCTACATTATTCAGAGTAGTTCTGCTGCATGGGCTGGGCATCCTGCCACCAGATCCAGGTCTAACACACTGCTTTGAGTTCATGTTTCTGCATCCCACAGCTGCAGCTTTCCTCCTCTGTGGCAGTTTAACCCTCTGCAAAGCCTTGCACTCATCAAGTCCTCCCAGGTCAGTAGGCTGCTGCTGTAATCTGGGCTAGCAGCCTTCTAGAAACAGAAGCCATAATCTCTTAGAGATTAACCCCCATCTATTGCCTTACTGCCCTTTCTCTACCTTGTTAAGGAGCATGATGAGCAGAGAAATCACCTTCTGTCTTGCCTAGTCAGCAAAATATAAACCTTTGTTGTAGAAAAATCTGGCCACCTCTCATTTTAACATCTGTCTCAAGCTCTGTTCTTTCAGTAGCTCTGTGAGCATGAATCCACATTTAGTTCCAGGATTATGAACCAAGGTCCAGATTGCTGGAACTCAAAGCAACAGGACTTGTAGTGGAAAATTCCACATTATGTCTATCAGATGAGAGCAGATACGGCAGCATGTAAAGTGATGATTTACACTGGGAGCTGAGCCAGCGTTAGGAGGTAACTTTCTACACACACCATAAAAAAGAAAAAAATCTCTTATTTTTACATGAGACACAACTTGTCTTTGAACACTATTATGATGGCTTGGAATTCAATGCATTCTACCATAGGAGAACTATCCCAAGGCATTAAGAGCTTGCTAAAATGACTTCCCAAGTAATTTTGTAATTTGTTTCACTCCACTAGCAAAGTAACTCACTGGTAGGTAAGATTTTCTTTTCCCCCTTAAATCTTTGATTTTAAGGAGGCCCACATTGCACATTAAGATCTACCTGCCACTGCAGACTTAAAAATCTTACTGTGTTCTGACTCCTGGTTTAGTCCCTTTTCAGTTTGTAATGCAAGTTTGGGAAGGCAGACCTGCTTTAGTGGCAGCTGATGTTTGGGGAGCGAGGGCTGTCCCCCTTTGCTGAGGCCTTCTGTGGTAGCCTTGGCAACGGGGGACAGAAATACATAAACCTTTCTGTGGACTGTCACTGCAAGTGTGGCCTGAATGGGATGATTTAAAACATGTCCAACTCTTTTGCAGGCATTATCCATGCTAGAGGATTAGTTCGGGAATGCCTGGCCGAGACGGAACGAAATGCGAGATCCTAGCCCAGTGGTTCAGCTGCAAGGTTCTCCATCTCCTCATGAAGAAAAAGTAACACTTATTCTTTTTGACTCTTGAAACATTCAGACAAACTCCTTTATTTTGAATGTTTTACCCTTCTTGTTTTGCCCTTGCAAAAATGTACAGTTAAAATGAAAAAAAACCCCCAAGGATTTTTCAACTTACTGAGGGTTTGCATTTTCTAAGGACGTTAAAACTCCCTAAAATGTTTCTAAAATATGGAAACTGAAGTGCATGCAGAAGAATGCTCTTTCTCTCCCAGGCTATATTTCAGTTCTCTTCTTATCCAGCCACAGCCTCATTCTGTTTTTTTTTTTTCTTTGACTATGTTCACTTATCCCCAAAACGTCAATCTTTCAAAGTTTGACATAAGCTCTAACGATTTTTTTAATAATGCAGAATAGCATGCTGTACCTAGTAGTCTGCTAAGTCACAATTTGTCATACAGCATAGACCCTGCTTAGAAATAACCTTCCCCTTCTCTTATTTTTTCCTTTTTTTTGTTCACTTTGCATAAACATTTGCATGACTGTTAGTGCTTTGAAGTCCACTTAAAGTGCATGAGCTATATGGAAAAATAGGGAAACCTATTAAATAATAACAAAGTCCTGGAAATTTAATTTCTACATTAAGGCTGGAGATTTCAGTTTAAAGTTTGCAAAAAAAAAAAAAAAAAAAAGAAAGAAAAAGGAACTTTCGGGATGAATTACTAAAACTGTTATTTGCATCTTTGTATGTATTTATTACTTGACGTAATAAAGCTTATTTTCATTAACAGTTTGTATTAAAACTATGTACAGTCACTTTAATCAGATTCATATTCCAGGAGCAAGAACTGTCAACAGAGAAAACTTTAACCTTCATGCAGGAGTTTAGGAAGGGACAAGGGAAGGGGCCCTGCAGATTGCTGGAGCACTCCATCCATGGCACAGGGTACAGCTGGTCACTGGGAAAAGGAGGTGAAATTCTAGAAGTCTCTGTTGCCTTCAAAATCCATGCTCTGGCTTTGGGTCTCTGTTGAAGGCCAAAACATCGTAGCAGCTGGTGAGAGTGCTGTCCAAAAATGAAAGAGAAGTTCTGGTTAAGCTGCTGGAATTGTTAACAGGATAAAACCAGTCAGGAGTGGCTTCAGAGGAATGGTGACAAAGGAAACGCAGCTGCATTTGTTCCTACAAAATGGGAAACTATCAAAATGAGAGAAGGTGCCAACATGGCCAAGCTGAACTGTAGCACAGCATAAACATAACAAACAACTAATTATTTAATTCACAGCTTGGATGAATTGGACTCTGTTGCCTTGGGAGGCAGCTTCCAACACAGGTAATTTTTCTATCTGTAATGACTCAGTTTTACCTCTAAACTGGAGGGCCATGAGTGACCATCCCTGACCTGCAGGAGGGCCCTCCCTGTGCCCCAGTGCTCAGCACCACTCCAGGTAAGATCTGGGAAGCTGCTGGCTAAACTTTATTCAGAGCTGAGGGGGACAGAGCATTTGTTCAGCTGATGGGTCTGAACCAGTGACTGGTGTCTCTTCCAGCAGCAGCTCAGTTCACTCCATCACAACCAGCATCCAAACCTGGTCACAGTTTGTAAAGGATTTATGTCACTGAAGGCACTGCCTGAGGAAGGATGGGGAGTGAGAACCTTTTAGTGCTGTTCTCATGTGCTGGAGCTCCCAGGAAGCAGCCCAAGGTGTCATCTGCACAGAAGGAAATCTATTGATTTTTTTTGGTCTGTGCTAACAATGGTGGAAAGCTTATAGCTCCTCTTTAACAAGGATTCCTTTATCTCCTGGACCTGGCAGAAAAACTGATTGCTGAATGTGATTAATGAGATGATGGCAGGGAGAAGCAGGAGTACATGAGTGCTTTTATCTCCTCAGCTTTACAGGAACAGCAGGTCAGCACTGGAGTTTCAGCTGTGATTATGAAGCCCTTCATCATTTGTTAGCTGGAAAACTGTTTGGGTCTAATGACAAACAATTCTCTTACTCTGCTAGGGCAAGGCTGTATTTCACATGTTTATTCCTTATCCAATTGTTGCATCTCTTTAAAAAGCTTCTTCCTTTCTAGGTTTTCCTTTGCTCTTCTTTTTTTCTCCTGCTTTTGCTTCTCTGATGCTTTCTTCTCTTTAAAAACATCACTGTCTTCGCCTTTGTAGAAAAGGTCAACTTTTTCCTGCAGGATTTCTCTGGCAATCTTTCTGTTCTTCTCCACTGATCTTGTCTGATGACACTGAAGAAATAAAAAGGACATTTTTACTGAAACTTTAACCTATTTATTCTTCAGCTTTCCCTTTCAGTCTATACATTCCTACCATTAGAGTAAAGAAGATCCCCTCCTCCCCAGGCCAAGAGCATCATCCCACCAATAACAGCTGCAGCTTCTAAATCCAGATGATACATTTAATAATTATTTGCTACTGTAACTCATCAGACTGGCTTTTGCATTAATTTTTAATGCTTCCCATCTTACCCTGGAAAGCTGCTTGAGTTTAACTTAACTGTGTCTTCCCCTTGTGACAGGAAGCAAAGATTAATTTCAAGGTATTAATCCACAAGAAGTAGGTAAGAGAAATGCTTAAAAAGGATCTGCAGGAGTGATCAACTTGCTAAGGAAGAGATTCTAAGTCACACGAGGGACAGGAATGTGACAGCTACAATGAAGATTAATTTAACTGCAAACTGCAAAACTAACTGTGTGGCAAAGCCAGGAAAAATACCTCTGACCCCAAGTTTATTTATCTGCTGACAGCCAAGACTGCTTCTTGCTGAGACTCATTACAATATAACGATAAATACAAATATAAATACAAATATACTTTTCCTCCACGTGATTATACCTTATTCTGAAAGGAGACTTGGAAGTCCTGATGCAATTTGTGACTCAATAAAATAAAACACAATTACCTTCACTACAATCCCAGATGGAATATGCTTCAGAACAACACAGTTGTTTGTCTTATTTGTGGCTTGACCTCCTGGGCCATCACCTCTTACAAACTGTTCTTCTAAATCTGCCTCACTTATTTCAAGGAGATTCAAAGAGTTCCTTTTCCTTGCTGCCTGAAGCAAGGGGACGCTGGGCAGGGAGAGCTGCTGCTTCCTCAGACCCCACCGTGTCCATGATGGTGTTTGCACCCCTCTCAGTAAGAATGCAAACTGAAATAAACCTGGAACATTCATACAGAAACCAGGACAAGGCTTCTCTGGAACGAAACCTGGAATGGAATGGGAGAGAGGAGTTTATCATGAGAATCCTTGGTTTAAGATGAGCTGCTTCAGCTGCACATGTTGAGCAGTATTTCAACATTCAGATTTATTTTCAAGGTTATCTGAACTGGTTTCATTTGCCTTAAAATACTTATCATGCAGAATAGAATTTTGGTTCTCAATATAATTATGTTTCTTAAAATATTTTGAAAGGCATCTGGAGAGCAGTAAATAAAAGAATACTCCTACCAACATTTGGAAAATACAAAACATATAAAAAGAAGAAAATAAAACAACAGTGGGAAAAGACGTTATTTCAGTCTTGCAGTCTGACCTGTACAGTCTCACTGGGAACCTGATTTTTCCCAGGTCAAGGAATTAACAAGATTATTAACAAAGGCAAAAGGTATGCCTGGAAGCGTGCTTTTTCCTCGTGGATAATGAGGAATGTAGCTCCTACTCCTGTCAAGTGTCAGTCTTCAGTATTAGGTAAGCAATTAAAACAGTACATGCTGTTCTGCTTGAAATACTTTATTTGACTCAGAAGAAAATACTTCAGTGTGTGAAGAAGTGCCATAAACAGAAAATTTGACCATAACTATTGAAATTAAAAAATAATTAAAAGAAAACTTGGCAGCTGCTACAGAAGTTAGTACCATTTTAAAATGAAGAATACAGGCAGAAAAACGAGCAGCACTTCTGGCTGGTTCTGAGCCTTTATTTAACAGGTTTCATCTAGCTCTACCCATTACAGAACACTTTTTGAAACCAGGACTGGGGAAAAAAAAAAAGTTAAAAAAAATCACCATCCCTCTCACCCTATTCCTGCTGTTGGACAGGACTCTAAAGAAAGAGTAAACACAGAAGGAACCGTAGAATTTGCTCCATTTCCCTCAGCGCTGCGCCCCGCCGCGGCCACCGCGGCCGGCGGCAGCGCTGCGGGCTGGGGTCGGGCTCGGAGCGGCCCAGAGGAAGCCGAGAACCGAACCAGGGTTGATCCCGGGGAAACCGGGAACCGAAGGAGCTCCGGCCCCGGGGAAGCCGGGAACCGGAGCCGGGAACCGGAGCCGGGAACCGGAGCCGGAGCCGGCCCGGCCTCGCTCGGGCCCCGCCGCCCCCGCTCACCTCCGCCGTCCCCGCTCACCTCCGCCGTCCCGCCCGCACGACACATGCGCACTCCGGAGGGGGCGGTGCCACCAGGCTGATTGGCATGTGGATCAGCCAATCGCTACGCGGGGGGGCGTGGATTGCGCTCACCCTCCAATCGTTTCTCTCGGGGAACGGCGCCGCGGCGCGCGGGCTTTGCGGCGCAGCGAATCAGCGCGGGAGGCGCGCGCTCGAGGCGGCCAATCACGGGGCCGGGCTCAGTGCGGAGCGCCCTCTACCCCCGTCGCCGCGTTCGAAACTCCCGGCCGCCACTCGCCGGGCGGGCGGCGCAGGGCCGCGCCTGTTCCTCGCCTCTCGGCCGCGGGAGGAGGCGGCTGCTGGGCGCGCCGCGGGCTCTCAGCGATGCGGGTATGAACCGAGCGGGCAGCGCCGCCGCGCTTGGCCCGGTCCCGGAGCCGCGAGGCCGCCCCCGGCGCGCCGCCCCTTTTCCCCGCAGAGTGGCGGGCGCTGCAGCCAATCGGAGGCGGCGGCGCTGTCAACATCGCGGAGCGCGAGGCGCGGCCGGCCAATGAGAGCGCGGGGGCGGGGCTTGCGCGGGGCCGGGGGGTGCTGGTGAAGGGACGGGGCCGCGGAGGGGCCGCGCCGGGTGAGGGGCGGCGTGTGAGGGGCCGGGGGCACGGCGGGGGCAGCGCGGCGCTGCGGGCGGGCGGGCCGCTCGCGGAGCCGGGGAGGGGGGGACGGACTGATGGGAGGCGGCCCCGAGGGCGCGGACGTGGCCGGAGGGGTCCCTGCGCGGGCTGAGCCCTCGGGGCCCTGAGGCAGCTCCTGAGGGCGCCGCAGCCCCGGGACTCGTTTTGCCTCCTGGGCGTCCCTCGGGGTCCGTGGGGAGTGCGGGCCTGGCGGGGACCGGGACGCTCTGTCACCGCTGAGGTGTCTGCGAGGGGTCGGAAGGAATCGGGGCTGGCTCAGGAAGCGCTGCAGAGCCTCACGGGCTGTGCGTGCGCCGGCGTTTCTGAGTTAAAAACGCCTCGCAGCCTCTTGTTTCCCGTGCCCCTTTCTGCAGCTGCGTGGCCCTGAAAGGACCGTGCTGTGCTGTGGGATCGATGGAGGACGGCGCTCCCGCAGCGCAGTTACAGCTCGCTAATTTTTTTTTTTTTTTTTTTTTTTTTTTTTTTTTTTTTTTTTTTTTTTTTTTTTTTTTTTTTTTTTTATATCGAGAACTGACTTCTAATGAGGTTATGAAACGAGCCTGTGTCACAGCTAAGTCCCACCCATTTGCTGTGCTGCTGAGATAGGCCACCCATGATTATTCCATCCTGGGCTTTCGGGGGTGACTGATGCAGCCCCCATCCCTTGCTCCGGTGGCACTCCCAGCCTCAGCTTGAGCTGTCAGTTTAGCAGCCTAATAACCTGCAAGTTTTGCAGTCTTCTGACCTCTAGAAAACGAAGAAAGCCATGTTTTTTTTATTTTTTTTTATCCCACGAAGCTCTGCCAGAGGGATGTGTGTGTGTGTGATAACTTCCTCCCAGTTCTGGCATTTTCAGCCCTACCCAGAATAGATAGTAAGTGAGTACCCAAAAAACATTTCTGCTAAAGCCAGGCAGGCTCCAGCAAAACAGGGGAAAATAGGACTCTTGTCCATTAGTTTGCTTCTGGTGAAAATGTTTTATACTTCTGAAACTATTGGGGATATATCTCCAAGAACTTGCAAATAATGAAAACTTGAATCTGTAAAACCCCTAAGCCCTGTAAAAAGAGGGCTGTGCTTTGGAAGTGTTGTGCTTCTTTAAGGCAGCAGGAATTTGTTCTCTAGCATTATCAGACTACCAAGATGATATTTCTTAATGTCTCTTTTTACTCTCCATCCATGAAATGATCATAAGGTTTTTCTGCAGTGTTAGAACACAGGCTGAATTCACCAGGGTGTACAACATGCTGAAATAAGCCCTATGTAAAAACTGGTTAATTAATTATTTCAAGGGTTTTCTTAGTGAAAGCATGCAAACTGGAACAATGTTTTAATCTCTTTATGGCCAGTCTGCTTTGAGTGCTGTAAGGCTGTGGCCCAAGTCTTGTGTATTTATTTATTTATGATGCTTTCAGTTAACCAGCTGCTGTTTTCAGCCACTGTGGGATTCCTGTTTGACTAATTTTTTTTTTGTTGTTGTTGTTTTATTAATTGGTCAGAAATGTAGCTCAATTTCAAAGCTTTCTGGTTTAATGTTGCATAATAACAGTGAAGCAAGTGATCTGTGAAAAAAAGTAAGCCAAATATTACACACAGAAATGGCAGAATTGGTTGATCCCAGTCTAACTCAGCTGGTCTCAGTTTTATTATTTTTGGTGAGTGTGTTTCTTCCAGTGAAGGTTCAGATCCTCATTCACATCAATAATAGACTTCACACCTAGCACGTGGTCTGTGGAGGCCCAGGTTTAAGAAAAGCAGCCAGTCAGACCCCACCAGCACGGTTTTACCTGGAATGTTTTGCATTCAGCCATCCTTTCCAGCCCAGTCTGGATGTTTTGGGAATCCTTGGACTTGTGGGAGGCCCAAGGCTGAGTGAGCAGCACCTGCTTGCAGGGGTGGCACAGGAGAAGGGAGGGAGCCTGGTTCTTGTGGAATATTTGCACTTTCTGGGGTGGTTTGGCTAAAACAACTGTCTCTTCAGTTCCAATTCTGTTTCTTCACACAAAAAAGTATTTTTTTTTTTTTTAAAGAAAGAGAGTGATGCTTATTTCTCTCTGTTTTCAGGGTAATGTCATACTTGGCACTAAGATATGGAAAACAGCGATGTGGTGAATTCTGTACAAGAAACCCCTTTGTCCTCTGCAGATTCTGATGTCAGAAACACCCACAGCTCTGTCTGCAACTTGAATTCTAACAGGTAAAGTGCTGAAGGAATCACTAATTCTATTATTTTGGCTCTGCTTAGTTAGCATGCTTTCACAGTAATATTATATTAAGGTGAAATTTTTATTTCAACATGATGATAGTCCTAAACCGAGTGGATAATTCTCTTCTGGCAGTCTGGCATATGTAGTGTATTGTTTGGGCCACTGTGTTGCACACCTGACACAATAAATAATTGAACTGTTTTTCCTCATGTTTCTCTAGGAGTCCTTCATCCAATCCCAATGGAGTTTCTGGTTACTCAGGGAATACCAGGTCCTCATTAAAGCCTGGCTCTGTTGAGCTGCTTGCCTCCTTTATGCAAGATATCCAGAACATTGGACATGCCAACTCAGAAATTGTGAGGAACTGTGAGGTATTTGATATTAAGTTTATTTTTAAAAAGTGGTATTAATGTATTTGCTTTGCATTTTGGAAGACTAATCTAATGATACAATTCAGCAGCAAGATCTGTGTTTATTCTTAATTATGGGACAGATCCCTTTATAATAAATGAACTAAATAAATCGGATCCTTTTATAATAAATGAACTAAATAAATTGGATTTTACTACAATTTTATCTTAGTGTTTTACAATAATTTGTTTTTATAGCTTGGTGTTTTATAATATAATGATATTATAATAATAATATTTATATTATAATATAGATCTGAACATTTTTTCCCAAAGTTACAATAAGTTAGCAGGTTTTTGAACTGAAAAATTTAAACCATTAAAACTGTATCACATCAAACTGGTCTGAAAGGATGCTAGAAATTAGAAGTGGTTTTTTTTTCTGAAAATGGTTCTGTTTTGCTTGACTTATTTATATAATCCATTTGTAAACATGTGTAGGGGATTAGTTTGTTTCCAGATTTAAACCAATGCAAAAATAATTATGTGGTTTCAATGAACTGATTCTCCCAGATACTTTTTGGAACATTTTCTGTTCTTTTGTATTTTAAATTTTATCATTATTTTTAGCTATCTTAAGGAGCAAACACTTATCATAAGGTCTTGCACACCATGGGCTTGCTCTTGCAGAGTTTTGAGCTTCCTGGCTGGGATCCATCCAAGTGTGTGTTGACAGATGCTTAATTTGGGTTCTCTTTAACACCTCCAGGAACAGAATATTGATGTCTGTGTCCCGTGTCCTGTGCTTCAAGCACCAGGCTCCATAAACATTAGCATAAAATAATTTTTAAACATCAGATTTTGCCATGTTTCAAGAATGCTGTATATTTGATTATTTAAAAAATGATCTTTTTGTTTTCATTACATAATTACGCATTATGGCGTTTAGGTGGATTGCTGAGGGGAGGAGTTGCTTACTGAAGTGGATGGACAGAAGGGTGTTTAATTCTCAATTTTAGAATTGCCTATAATTAATGAAACTGGAATCAACCTTTCCAGAATTTGACTTTTCTTTGCTGGCAGCTGTTCCTACTTTTAGTTCCCATTGATTGGCATGGTGGGGGCTGAATGTACTGTGGGGTGGGCAACCACAGTGCTGTTACTCAACTTTGTATTATGCCAACACCCAAGGATAGGATTGCAAAGCTATTTGTAGCCAGAGAAAAAGGTAAGAGGTGCAATATTTCTGTGCTTTAATTATTTCACTTTGTGATTTAATAGACAAGGTGGCTACAGCTACTGAGACTGGTAGAAAAACAATGCCAGGAACAAATAAATGCCCAGCAAGAGCAGTTCCACCATCAAATCCAAGTAAGTAATGACTGTTCATGGAGCTAGATAAGGCTGAATGATTTTTTTCTTCCTCCAAAACAATGCAGGGAGGCAGTTAATGGAAGTGGATGACTGGAGTGCTGTTTAAAGGATGCATTTTTGAAACAGCCTTGGCTAATTAATAAAGTAACTGTTAGGAACCATTTCAGGAGTGATTTGTGGATTATTTGTTTTCAGCTATTTTGTTTTGGTTCAGAATGCTCACATGATAGTGGGATTTTGTAGGTACAAGGTTTTTATTAACTGTTAGACTGTGTAATTTCTAATTTTGAGACAATATAGCTTTCTTTTTGTTAAAATAATGTTATACAACTTATCATCCCCTCATCCAGCCCAGGAAAACCATCACTGTAATAACTGAAGACCTATTTCACCTTCAGTTGAATAGTTTCCTTTCTAAGAATTAAAAATAACCCATGTGAAGGTTCATATTTTTGTTGAACCCCATTTATCCATTAGAACAGAAGCAATGTTTATGTATCTATAACCGACAGTAATACTATAAATATATAATGCTTAATATCTTCATCATTTTGGTTGCTGTTTTTCCCTTCCCTTTCCTGATGCCCTCCACACTAGTAGTAATCAGCAGTTCCTGAACTGAATTACCAAGAGGTACTGTCCTTTTATCCTATCTCTTGTTTCTCCTGCCTCACCTCCCCACCTTCCCCCCCTCCTTCCCATCTTGTTATTTTCCTGTTTCCTTGCCCTTGTTTTTCCTTCCTCTTACTGTAGTGGTTTGATTCACTTGTTGCTGATCATAGTCTTTACTAATCCATTGTGTTGGCTTTGCTGGTTTTTGTCTTTTTTAATAGGAAAGGCTACCTCTGGAAGAGCTGAGGGTGTGGTGTCAGCAGGGGCTTTCTCACTGCACGGGTTGCCACACTAAATACAAAATCAACAGCTAGAACTGAGCTATTTTATGCATTAAATAAAATAGATGGGGCTATTCCAAACGTACACTGGTGTGCCAGTGACCTGGTGAAAACACTGAAACACAGGCAACTCAACACATTCAAGTGAGAGTAATAAAAAGACACAAAAAGAGTAATCTGCTTTTTGTGGTACAAAAGCAAGGAGCTGGATCAGCACTGACATGACTCTGAGACAAGGTTTGCTCCATGCTGAGTTTCAAGACCAGCTGGATAAAAATCTCCATCCATGTGAGAATAGGGATAAAAAACCCTTGAGTTCCTTTTGGAATCAGTGGGGTCAGCTCTTGGCTTATCTGATTTATACAGTAAAAGATAACTGTGCCAGGGACAAGCTGTCACCAGCTGTGGATCATTCCAAGATCAGGATTTATCACAGAGATTTTAAAACCAAAATTACAATCCCAAAATTTTAGAAAGGACATCTTAATTTTCCCCTTTTTATTTAATCTTGCAGTTAATTGTGACTATGCAAAAAGAAGTAAAAATGCAACTTAATTGGAATAGGAACCTTTCATTTTTCCTGCACAGAGTATTAATGACAAAGATTAAATGTCAGCAGTGAATCTGATCTTTCCCTCCACTCCAGTTCTGTTCTTTCCCTTCTGTTCTCCCTTCCCTACCTTCCTGACAGTTGGATCACAGAACTAAAATACAAATGATTGCTGCAGTCATGATTGAAATATTAGCAGAACACAAAACTTTGTAGTGGAAGGAAACTTCATCCCAAGTTTTTTGTTTGTTATTTTTGGCAGGGAAAGACTGAACTGAAATTCAGTTGTTTGTTCCGTTGCAAATTAATCAAAAATCTGAGGCTTGATCCTGACTAGCATTACATGTAGGTTCCTCTGAAATTAAATCTTCTTTTTTATTTCTTACTTTGAGAGAATAAATAATTTTTGTTCAATTTGTGCTTTCCAGTTGCTATTCACATGTGAGTAATGTACTGTAGTTCTGTGAAAAAACATGAGTGTCATGTTCTTAAAATTATTGCAGGTTTTTTTCTTCTTTGTTTCCTGAGGGAATTAGTTTGAAATATATTCTTGAAAACAATTCTGTGCTCTGTCCTGTCATGTGCAAGAGTTGTGTGCTCCTGCAGTTCAGTGTTCTCAGTTGAACTCTGCAGAAGTGCTGGCCACAGGCACAAATGTGAAATCTCTTCACAGCCCCTGGCAAAAGCATTCATTATTTCTCAGAGCTGTTTTAGTATTCCCAGTGCACAACTGCAAAACGTAGAAATTCAAAAAATTACTTGCCTAATATAAGTAATAAGTCTTGTAGACTAAAGAGTAAGGGACCTGTTAAATCTAGTGATCCAGTTTTGGGTTTGCTCCACTCCATCAGACATCAAAGCAATCAAAAGGAAGAACTTTGTACCGTATGAACCTAACAACATAATATCCAAATTGGGTTTTTTGAAGTTGAGTTTTATGCAATAATCTTGCAGAGGTACATTATTCCTATTCTCATGGTAAAGTAATGGTTAATACTTCCATCAAAGCATCCTTGCAATCTTTAAAAATGTGTATCCAAGTGAAAAAGTGTTTCAGACTTAAATTTAACCAAACACCTGGATAGTTTGTATTTCTTTAGCTGGTTGGTAGGTAACTATAGTTATGAGGGCAATTAGTGAATACATTCATGCATGTTTTTTACATGAATAAATGACTACTGAGACTCGTAATTCACTGCATGGAATTAAGGATTGTTCCCATGGACATTTTACTGTTATTTTTACTGTTTTATTTATATTTACTGTTATGCACAGTATGTATTGATCTACTTTATGCATGAGATGTCTGCTCATGAAAACTTGGAGTTATGTGGAATAAATACTCTAAATCTCCCACTAATAACACGAATGGAAGATGCATCTAAACAGGAATGTGACTGCTGGCAGGATCTGATGGCAATTGTTCCTTTCCCCCCCGTGCAGCTGATTCAGGATGAGATAAAGCAGCTGGTGAGGTCGCAGAGCAGCGCCTGGGCCAGGAGCCGGGCTGTGCCCTCCCAGCTGCCCAGCACCTTCCCCTCCCTGCCGAGCCCCATGGGGATGTGCTCGGGGGCGTCTGAGGAGCAGGAGAGCCTCGTGGTCCAGCTGAGATCCAGCGAAGGGGACGGCCCGGCCGAGGCCTCGGAGGTGCAGCAGGAATGTGCGGGCAGCGAGGCCTCCATGAACAGCGGCTACGGTTCCCTCTCCACCTCGGAGCTCAGCCCTGCCCAGCCCGGCCCCAGCGCGGGCGCAGGGCTGCACGCTGATGCAGGCAGCCTTCAGAATAAAAGAGAACTTTCAGCAAAGGAGCCTGAGGAAAATCGTTCATTGGGAAGGAGTGATATTTTAGTTTTTCCCACTGGGTTGGAGCATAAAGCTGATAAAGATCATCAGCATGGGAAAAAGCCCAGGTAAGTGATAAACATCCCAAATATGGTAATTTTATAGATAATCCCCATTCAGTAAAAGCTGGTGGCTACTGGGGATGTGTCTGAGTTGAACTGAACCTCTGAATGTTCTGCTGCTTCATAGATAAACATATTTATTTAGCCTGATGTTTCTGGGTGATGCAGGTCTGCATCTCCAGTATTTAGCTGTTGTAGATATATTTAGGGGACATACCTTAAGGTGTATGTGTGTGTTTTTCCTACCATCTAGTAAATCTTTAACATCATGGGCACAAAAGTTGAAACAAAGCCAACCAAAAAGAGTAACTGCAGATGAAGTATGTGTGAACTCTATGCAAGAAAATGAGAGCGTGAAGAGATTACCACTTGAGAATGTAAGTCTCTTCTTACTTAATTATGTTTTTCTAATGTTATTCTTGTAACTGGTATTTTTTCAGAGTTACAGCATGTTCTCATTCAGCATATACTTTTATATTTTAAGCATTTGAGTTCCCATTCACATATTTAAAGTTCATGTGGGCAAAGTTTACTTCTTGGATCATTCTATACTTAGGCACAGAGCTATTTTGGTTTATTATTCATTACCTAATTTTTGCCTTGACAACTCCCTGAGTGGCACATGTTCTCTCCTTCTAGAGGTAATGGCCACACTCTCAGCTGAGGCTTTGGGTCATGGTAATTTGTTGTGCTCTGTAAGTCTTGAAGGATCTTTGATTTCAGCTGGTGATGCCTCTTTTGGAACACAGGATTCTTTATGTGTTAAGGCATTAACCACTTTGCTCAGGACAGAAACACAGGCACATGTATTAGGAAATACCAGTTCAATTATGTGGTTTAGCTTAGTTCCACTTTTGGCTATGATTACCCTCAATATAAATTCTGTAGGTTTGGATCATGCTGTATAATTGTATTTAATCTCTTTGCTTAAAAAGACAAATAACATTTGTATGCAATTTTTAAACATTATACTCTTGCTTTTTTTTTTCCCTTATGATTTTCCTTCTGAATTTGTTTTTCCATTGTAATTTTAGACAAACCTTACTGATGCTGCTTTGCCACCATACACTTTTTACCTCAATCAACCCAAGGAAAGTCCAAATTCTGTAGCATCAGAAGCTTCAGGTATAGTTAATTTATTGTACTTAAATTCCCTTTCTTTTAAATTCTCATTTTTAAAGCTCTTACTGGAATGTATCTCCAATAACTTCAGGGAGGTAAGGAGGATTTAAAGCACTGACAAGCTTTGCTATGGCATTAATTCTGTTTCTTGCTCCTGTTTTCAAGCTGATGGCATCTCCTGTGTATTGCTGATGGCAAATGTAGGACATGTAGCAGTTGGGAATTTTTTGTCCAAATTTCTCAGCATTTCAAAGCTGAACTTTAATTTAAAACTGTTTCATAATGGAATTGTTGTTAATGTTGTGGTAGGATATGAAATATTAGCATGAGGACATGATTCAAGAATTGTGTAAATAGACAAGAACAGAATAATGCAGTGTGCAATGTGGTGATTCTTTAATTCTGGGGGGAGGGTTGCTTTTTTAGTGTTTTGGTAAGGTTTGACTTTGTTGTTTTAGGGGGTGTGTGTGAGGGGTGGTTGGTGGTAGATTTGCATGGGTTTGGGGGTTGTGGGTATTGCTTTTTTTTTTTTTAATCAAAGCCAGACAACTAATTTAAATATTTTGATTATAACAGGGTGGATTCATTTCAGTAACAAACAGGGGCACAGAGATGCGGCCCTGCAAACTGTGTATAATTATTGCTTCTTCACAAGCCTGAGAGAGGGACACATTTAAGAAATTGAAGTGGGATGGAGGCTGTGTCTGTTCCTCTTGTGCCATCCCACTTAGCCCTGGTAGTTTCTCTTTGCATGCTGCAGAGTGCTGCACAAAGTGAAGAGTTTGTAATATCAGGTGCCTGCCTGGGATTATTCCTTGGGTGGTGCCAGTTTTAAGTGCTATCCTCGAATCATGAGAAATGTAAGTTCATGGTAAATGAGGATTTGCCCCTTGAACACCAAATCTGTGTGTTTTAACTGATTTATAGCTTTTGTTGCTGGTGCTGTACGGTGTGAGAATGATTATGGGGCCTGTGCTTTGCATTGAGATTTTTCTAACTCCTGGCCCAGTAACAAATGCTCTAATGACATCCTTAAGCACTAAATGCAAATAACTAATAAGCTATTCTTGTTACTGACAAAATAACATTTTACTAATGGGTTTTGGATTCCTGTTCTATAGCTGCCAGCTTGAAATCTGTAGAATTAATTTTATTTTGATATTTTTTCTCATCAGGACTTTCATACTGGAAGTTGGATGAAAAGGAGATGTATAACACTTTACCAGAGAATTTCAGAAGTGAGTTGCCTGATGTCTTCTCCACAAAAGTATCACCAGTTCAGGTAAACTTTGTACATGTTTAAAAGTTATGTAGTTGCTTTTTGTCTTTGCTGTTTTCCTGTGATGGAGAGAACTCTTTTGTCATCTCAGTCTCTCATACCCGGGCTCTTCATTATTCCTGTACCCCACTAACCTCACTTGGAGTTTATTGACCTTTTGTCATTCAAAATAAGCTGTGTACAGGAGATGAGAAGTTACAAACTAATATGTTAAAGGTATATGTGCTTGTTAAAAACCCTTTTTTAACTTGAATAAAGCTGCATGTTCTGAGCTGCTTTATTAGCTAAGGCCACCCCAGAAGTTGCTTATCTGTGTTGGGGGTGGAGGATTGTGTTCAGAAAAAGTAATGTAGCAATTTTGCCTGTTGAAGTTGTCTTCTGCTGATGAAAGGAAGTTGTCATCACTGAAGGATATTTATCATAAAAGACAAAGGGAAAACAAGCAGATGCCAGACCAGAGTTTTATGCCTTCTTCCCAGCCAAGTCACCCACCAGAGGTAACATTAATTTCTTTACTTCACGTGTCAATTGAGGATGTGTTGGGCTGGTTTCACACGGCTTGGCCCCTGCTGCCACCTCCAGTGTTATGCTGGAACAGCAGTTTGAGCAGCCTGGGAAAGGATCCAGCTTGGAGGAACCTCTAAGAACAGCCTGAGCAGAGAAGCACCTTTGCTGCACAACCTTGAGGATGCTGCAGGGACGGATCTGCTGCTGCTGGGGCTGCAGCTGCTGAGCTGCACCTGGAACTGCAGTGGCAGGGTTTTCCCACAAGACAAGTTTGTTCCACCCATGGAACAGAACGTGCACAGGTTGTGGAAATGATTCTTTCTCATATCTATTTTTTATATAGCTTTCAGTCCTGTACATAACCCAGTAATGGTGGCTGCTGTGTGACTGTATTGTTTAGGTAATTGATGAAGTGCTTTTGTAACCCTGCAAGGTTATTGTTTCAACACACAGATAGACATCATAGTCTTTCAGGTTGCATAACTGAAATTTCAGAGGTTTTCTACAAAGCTACAGATCTTGGATATGTCCTTTATTAATGGAAACTTAGAAACTCAAGATGCAGTTATGGGAATGTGTATTGTCATTTCAGTGTTGCAGGTGCCTTCATTTTATTTGTCACTTCCAAATGATTGTAATAATATTCAATATAATACCTGCAGTATGTTGTATGGTTTACCGATGACTTTGGATAAATGTTGTTCTTGTAAATGGAGTTAAATCACAATTTTTTTAGCATTGTAACTTATTTCCTAGATCTTGACCTTGGACCCAACCCTGCATATGAAGCCAGGCCAGCAGAACCAGGGACTCTGTTTTTCCAGGACTCCTGCAGACTCTGCTCCCTTTTCTCCAGACTCTATGGCAGAGCCCGGATTTCCAAGTCATTGTGACACTGACTCTTTTTCACAGACAAGTCATTCATCTCAGTTAGATGATTCTCCAACACACCCTGCCAGCAGCAGAGCTGTGCACTTGGACCTGTGGAGAAATCACCCATTCCAGAGTGAAAACAAGGCCAGCTCTTCCTTCCCAGTAGCATACATGGATGCTGACAATGATAATTCTGTCAACACTGAGGAGGAAGAAACACTGACTCTAACTCCATCTTCTGTTACTCAGTGTGCTGACAGTGGTTTGCCAGATTACAGCCTTTCAGTGACATCCCTTGAAGATCCTGTGGTAATGTCAAAGTAAGTAATTTTTTCTTTTTTAAAAGTCAAAAGTTTGGTACTTTCATGAAAGGAATGAAACAATAGTAGTAGTTAGCCAAACAAAATATGTGAGTTCTCTTGGTCGTGTCTCTTTATACATAAAGATAAAAATGCATCCTTCCCTCATAGGCTTTGTGAGGGAGTTCATTTAGGCAGAGAAATTCAAATTTCTGTGGAGGGGGTTATTTTCCTCTATAGAATCAAATGCAGAGAAGTACAGAATTTACTGTGCTTAGGAAAAATAAATATGCTCCAATCAATCCAGCTCTGATTTGCACTGGACAAGCAGACAGGGCATATATTCCATGTATGAGGGCTTGTAAAAAAGTAAAGCTTTATATTGTGTTTGTATCATAATATGTATCTCTATTATTGTGAAGACTTCTCTGCCTTAGATGACAAAGCTATCTTTGGTTTAGGTTGAATGCAAATAGAGTTTTGTAAGAGACATTTATATGCTGAGTTCATTATGTGCGAATGAATCCAGCACTGCATGGTCCTGTGGATGGCTGGAATTTTAAAAAATTTTATATTGAAAATAGAATTAGGCAGAACCTGAAGGAAAAACATGCTCGACACATCGCTGACCTACGAGCTTACTATGACTCTGAGATCCAGAGCTTGAAACAGCAGCTGGAGTCAAGCCACAGAACTGCTGCATCTGAGGAGCTGAAGAAGATCAATCAAAGCCTTGCTGACAGGTACTGTTTGTCCTTCCTGTCTTTCTCTTTACGTGGTGCTCTTTATATTTTAAAGACTGAGTACTCTTGTTTGGAATATCTTGAACAGTTTATGTCTCGCTTCAGTTCTGAATGTTTCATGTATCCATGATTCTAATATTTCCTTGGTAAATACAAATTTTGCATTATTTAATGCTGTTGCTAAGTTGTGGCTGCCACATACCTGGTTAAAGGGCTGGACAGGGCCCTAAACTGCCTCATCTTGTGGAAGATGTCCCTGCTCTTGACAGAGGGGTTGGAGCTGGATGAGCTTTAATATTCCTTCCAACTTGAACTATTCCATGTTTCTGTGAAGATCAGTTCACTATTGTTAGACAGTAAATGTGTTAGGACCACAGTCTTTGTTGGACCTGTTTTTTTCTGGAGCCAGTGCAAGCTTTTCTCAGGTATGGCTGGCAGGCAGAGGTGCTCTGAGCAATTTGTAATGGAATGCTTTATGTTGGAAGTTTGTGCTTTCCTGTCATGCTGCTGAACATCATCCTGCTGTACCTTCCATGTCAGAGCCACAGGTGACACAGGACCTGAGTTCATTGGTGCCTTTACCCTGGAGTCTGTGTGCCCCAGCTGTGCATTCCATTATCTACAGCTTGAGTGTTTGCTGTACAGAGAATACTGGTGTGGTTTCTGTATAATTATTGCCAGTTAAAACACATATTGAAAATTTAAACAGCTGAAGTACTGCACAAAATTTGTGTATTCCCAGTTTCCTTCCCATCCCAAGCCACCACAGCCCTTCTGAGCAGAGACACTGTTGGGGCTGAAAAATGTGGGAGGAGATCACAGGCTGGGCACCAAAATTTGTGGGGATGCTTGAGGAAGGAATAAAAGGATATAAAATATAGGTTTATTATTTGAAAATTTCAAGAGTTTGGTGTTATGTCTATATTCTAAATAGGTGTAACCAGTTAGATTCAGCTCTGAATGAAGCAAGTGCTCACATAAAAGCCCTTGAAAATAGGAATAATCTGCTAGAAAAGCAAGTGGTAAGTATGTGTTCTTAAATCAAGTTGCTTTTTAAGTAAAAGGGTAAAAGAATGAACTTTTTCATTAATAAGCTGATCAGTGTTCCCATACTTATCTTTTTATTTTTAACCTTTCAACCTTTCCCTTAATATATAACATCAGTCCACATGTTACACAGTTACTTTCCTACCTGACTTTCATAGGATTCCTTACTTGAATCATCAGCACTTTTGCTTGTGAACTTTTTTCCAGGTTAGCAGGGCTCAAACAAAGAGTGAGATACTGTTATGTGTTTATCATGTTCCTCTTTAAATTTTCTTAATTAATTTATTTTGTTTTAATTACTTTCTTACTAGATCTGTGATAAAAGAAATCTCATTTATGCTGGGGAAAAAATACTCTTAAGGTATACTTGCAGTTTTTCTAGCTGGGCCAGACCTGTTTGCTTGTTTATAAGTTAATGCATAGCTGCACTAATTATTAATACAATTAATTATTAGGCAATTAATTATTATTAGGCAAAAACCAGGACACTTTGTCATGGCAGTTGCACTTTGTCATCAGAGTCAGACACCTGCAGGGTCTAATTCCACCTTCTGACATTTTTCTATGCTGAGAAGTAAGTCAATTGAATGGATTGGAGGCTTCACCTCTAGATATTTAAAATCTTATAAAAGAAATACATTTTTGATGGGTTTAGTCTTCATTTTCATTCTTTCCAAGTCAAAGAAATGAGCAGAAATCTTGTTTAGTTCATGTACAGGTGTACCCTTGTTTTCTGTGCAGGTGATTTTAAGAGAATTCATTGAAATAAAAATAATCTTAGAGATAAATAAGATTATTTTTATTTAGGGAATAAGAATGTTTCAAAGATCCTGAAGGATGTTTTCTGTCCTCCAGGCAGATTGGAGGGAACGTTTCTACACCATCAGTGACAATTCCAAAGCCCTGCAGGAGCGGCTGGAGGAAATGCGCGTGACCCACAAGGAGAAGGACAACACCATCAGCCGCCTGAAATACAGGCTCAGGGAGCTGGAGGAGGCTTTTGAGAAGGCTTACAAGTTCTCTGACAATACAAACACAAGGCTCCAGGAAGAAAACAAAATGTTTCAAAATGTGAGTAAGAAAATGGATGATGGTGTTGGCAGGGGTACGACAGTAAGTCCCAGGCGTGAAAAATACTCTTGAGTTTACAACTGGGAAGTCTTAAGGCACAACAAGAAAACAGAAATTCCTCAGTTGACTCCTAACTAGGCTGGGTGTTGGAGGGCACTGTGGAACTAAAAGATACTTAAAAACAATTATTTAAGGCAGCAAGTGTATATTTGATGTGGTAATCCTTGCAACAGTCTGTCTCGAGAATTTTATTACTTTAAGTTGAAGATATTACATGAAATTATTTTAGAAAGTAATCTTTCCTCTCTTAAGCTTGTTGGAGATGGACTAAACTTTTCATACCTCATCCCAACTTGCTAAAACTGTTCATTGTGTATGATTTTATTCTGAATCTAAGGAATTGCTCCTCTGATTCTTTAGGAAGATCTTTATGGAATGTTTAAATGGACTGGCAGAATGGGTATTAGCTGGAAAAACTACTTCATGCTTTAACTTATTCTTTACAATTGAAATTTCAAAAGACAAATTCACTTTTAAAATCACTGAGGAATTTTACTGGTTCTTCATTCAGTTTCTTTAGAGACAAATAATTTGAAAATTAGAAATACATTCTATGAGTAGCTCTGTCTCTTCTTGTCCTGTCTATAACTTTTTGTTCCAATTAGAAAATTATAATAACTTAACAAATACTATTAAAGTACATTTTGTATCCCCTGTAGTGCTCCTGCATGTGTTAGCCAAGCTGTTGAGATGATTTTACAGCAGCCAACAAAAACTGTTAATTGACTGTGGTCTCACTGTGGGTTGGTGTTCTTTTGTTTTGTTTTAGCTTTTAGGAGAATACGAATCCCTTGGAAAAGAACATGAAAGAGTAAAGGTAGGCATACAGTGATTAATTAAAAACTCAAACATGCAAACTTTGTGATACTATTGCATGGAATTAGCTAAATTAACTTAAATGTTTTGAAAAAGCTAAACAGAAAGATCCACATTTATCTTTACTGATGACTTCCTTCTTCAGAGTCCTGGAGAGAAAAGGAAGGAAACTGGAAATCTGTTATTTTCCAGTCACAGACAGCAAAAATACTGCAAAGTCAAACTGAAGAAATTTAATGGACCCATTGAACTAGGAAGGTGTAATTGATGTGTTGTTTTCAAGACTGATGTGGAGTTATTTGGGTTTTATTTAATGCACTTCTGTAGTTTCTGAACTTTTTACATTTTTCTTTGTGTCCTCGTAGGATACGTTAAATACAACTGAAAACAAATTGCTTGATGCAAACACAGAGATTTCTGATTTGAAAAGGTAACTGTGAAACTTATTGTTTTAACAATATGAAACACAAACTGTGGCCTAAATGTCTACTTCCAGAGTATGGGGGCTGTAGATCTTTCAAGTTTAATCACATTTTATGAAGCATTTCATGTTGCTTCATGCTACTGGTACAAACTAAAAATCTCATTAATTTAGGATATGCATTTTTTTTCTACTTCCTCTGCTTCCTCAGCAGTGTCTTCTGGTCCTGTCTTTCTGGCCAGATTACCTGATTTATTTAACTTCAAATTCAAATACATATTTATATCCATATTTAGATAGAGATGCATAGACCAAAATGCAGCAGTTGCTCTTGTTCTACTGCTTCAACCAGAATATCTGAATAAAAATGAGCAAAACTCTTTAGAAATAAAATCTTTCTTTTATGCCATTTAAATCATCTCCTAATGCATCTTTTTAAGGACAATTTTAAAACTTGAAGCTCAGCTCAAGCAGGTGGAACATGAAAATGCACTGAAACTTCGCCATATAAGTGAAAATCGTTTAAAAACCTCTTGTGCCAAGTAAGTGAACATTCAAACATGAAAACAATGTGTTTTAGAATAGCTTTTAACATGTTTTGGCTAAAAATGGATCAAGATGAGGTCAGTCCATGGGCTGAACTGGATTAAACACATGTGATGTAATCCAGAGATTGGATGTGCCAAGAAATTATTAAACCCAGCTGAATACTCTGGCTGATGTATCTCTGATTTGGCCAGCTGTCCCTACTCTTCCCAGATGAGTGTTTGCTAGGTCTCAGCTGCTCAGCTGAATTCCCATACTCCACAAAGATTTTGGGAATACAATCTTACAAGTCCAGTTAGGCATTGGAGGTTTTCCTTGGGTGTCATTGGTTTGAAAGGCTGATTCCTGCTTAGTGTGGTTCTAAATATAGTTTGTACAGGTAACCTAAGAGTAGAGGGGAGGTTCAGTTAGAATGAACACTGGTTTGAATTGGGAATTTATGTTGAAAGAATTCAAGTTGATCTATGCTCTGGTTTTGTTTGTTTGAGGGGATTTTTTTTATGTTTTAAAGGGCTGAAAAGCTTTGTCCCCTCTGGTTTTTATTACTCAGTTATGACCTGTTCAGTGTCTCCCATTTCAGCTCTGATGCTGTGGAGCCCAAAATGACAATTAATGTGATTTGGAGATGTCCATTTGGATGTATTGAACAGGAGTAGCTTGGGGGGATTTGAATTTTGATGATTACAAAGACAGAAATAATTTATGTATTATGATATTAAAGGGACAGATTTCTGTTTAGAGCTCTTTAATATTTATGAACCAGACCCTTCAACAATGAACAGAAAAATGGCAGACCATGTTCATCAGGGAGAGAGGGATGTAAAAGCCAATATGGATTTACAAGTTAATCTGTCCCTAACTGATCCCGGAGGCTCAAGGAAAGCCTCATTCCAATTGAATGCTCAGCAGGATAGATTTACAGAATAGTGCCTATAGTTCATAGCTTGGGTAAACAAGACCCTTTTTTTCCTAATTATCTGCTTTCCTATGTATAGAAATCACATTTTTCTTTTGATATCTCAAAATAATGATCTACTAATTGATGCTTATTAGTTGATATTTATCACTCTCAGGTTGTCAATGCTGGCTTTTTCTTGTTTTGTTTTGTTGTTTTTTTCCCTAATAATTGTTGTCCAAAGGAAAGCTGGGATCAGATGCTCTGCAATAATCTCCACCAAATGTTTTCATTTAATTAGTTGAGATCTACTTGCAACCCAAACCTGGGTCTGAGTAAGCAGCATTAAATTACAGCAAGATCTTTGTGGAGCTCTGCATTCTGAGCATATTGTGTAATTCAGACTGAAACCTCAACATATGGCTTTTTTACCCCCCAAATATTATATTTTTACCATACAAACATGTTTTTAAAAGCAGTTATTTTTTCAATAGTATTTATAAGTTTATTGTATTTTTGTTTCTGTTTACATGCATAAATCACAAACAAACATAAATAAACATAACCCCCTCCCCTCAAACTCCAAAGCCTTTAATAATTTTGAAGCTTTGTATTCCCACAGCAACTTGGGAACTCCTGATGTCAGCAGGCGAAAGTGGTTGATACCAGGAGCTGAATATTCCATTTTCACTGGGCAGCCTTTGGAGGGCCAGGAAAGCCCCAAAGACAACAGGCTGGAAGAAGCCTATATTCCTTCTAGGTGAGTTGGTATCTGAACTAAACTAAAATCTGAACTAAATTTCTCCATGGTTTTGTTTATTCTGTTTATGTTTGGGTACATGAAATAAAATTTAAAAATTGATCTTCTTTTTTTCCTTCCACCACCTCACATTATTCAAGGCACCATTCTCCTCCTGAAAAAGACTCCTCACAGGAAGACTCTTCAACAAACACAATTGAAAAGAAAGAAAATGAGATGTCAGAAGCACCAATTATAAAAGCCTTTAAAGAACTTGAAGAAGGAAAAATTCTTAAAGATTGGGGTACACAGACAGAAAAAGAAGATGCACCAGCTAGTAACTCTTATTTTTATATTCCTGAATGTGTCTTTACTGGCTTTTCTTTGCATGTCTTTTGGCTTTGGTATTCTCAGCATTCAAGTCCATCAGGTTTCAGTGATGGGATAAAAACAGCTTTGGCATGCAAACTTGTGGGGTTCTAAGAAAATTCAAAGTTAATTATCTTAGTGGTTTGTTTAGAATAGGGGGAATGCAGAGGTTGTTGTTAGGTCTCAAGCTGAAGACTAGTTAATGTCCCCTTTTCTAAGAATATCTCAGTATTTGTAAACAGTTAATGGAGTCCTAACAAAGCTCTGGCTGCTGTACATCCATTTGAGTTTCCATGGTGTTGTATGGGAATGGAATTGAGGAAGTGGGACTGCCCTGAGCTGTTGTAACAATGCTGATTTAGAGAAAAAGCTGAGTCTTCCTTAAAATCTTGTATTCTGGGCCTCAGGCAGGTCCTTCAGCCTTTCCCAAAAGATGCTTTTGTCCTGATTTCCACCGTTTCTCTGTCAAACAGTGTTACTCAGCATAATTTCTCCTCCACACACTGCAAAGATCCTTTTTCATGAGTTAAACTGTTCAGTGAGCAGGAAGAGAGCAAAACAGCACAAATAACATTGATGTGAGGGACAAAAAGCTCGGTTCAGGGGAATATTTCTGAGCTCTTGTGTTGAAGAAGACTGGTTAATATAAGAACTTTTTTTTTCTTTAAATTAGAACCATCAACTCGACGTCAGACTGTGGGGTTTGTTGAAACCTCTTTGGCTGCAAACCGATCTCCAGAGAAAGGGAGAGACCAGCACAGACCCAAACGGTTCAGCTCCCCCTGTGGCCAGAGGTCATCATCCCTTCCTCCTGCAAACAGGAAATCCAACACTCCCAGTCAGTGCTTTTCTCAGTTTTGCTTTGTGTCACTCAAAAAGCAGAATCAAATAATGAAAGGCTGCTCTAGAAGATGAAAAAATAGAGAAATAGAGACAGGGTTCTGCATTGTGCTGGCAGTCTGAAAAAAATCATGTCTGTAATCACAGAATATGTGAGAGTTCTAAGTTTATTTTTATTTTTCCATGTTGTGATGCACTTCTCATCTAATTTAGATAAACATGTAGACAGCTTTGAAGAGCATTATTTTAAGCTGTAAGCACATGAGTAGGAGGTACTGCACTGGGGAGTTTGGGGTAGATAAACACACTTTGTCTTTTGCAGCAAGGAGAGAGATAATGTTGGCACCAATGTCTGTGACATACAGCCCAAAACGATCTCCAAAGGAAAACCTCTCTCCTGGATTTAGCCATTTGCTCAGCAGAAATGAAAACACAGTGACAAGGTACGAGTCTGGCAGATACAGTTGTGTTCTGATCATTTTTAGAGCAGCAGGATGTTTATCCAGGCTTAATGCTGCTGTTTCTTCTTCATTAAATATCCTCAAAAATGAGTCATGAAGATTCCTGAATATAAAACTAAGTTGTGCTTTTTAAAATCTGGCTAGGAAAATCTAGAGTGATTGAACAGGATTTGGAAGACTTAGTCTTCTTCTAAAAAAAAAAAAAATATTTATTCAACCTAAAGGTGAAATAGTAGATAATGTATTGCTTGATACATGACTTATGACAAATAATTTCTGTGTGCTTCCTGCTCTGTAGATTTGATATACTTCTAGATGACCTGGAAACTGGTGCTACTTCTACTTTACAGCACAATAATCCAAGGAAAAGGCTCCAGTTTCACTCACTAGATGATATAGAAGGTAATTTGTCAAAGTGGAGGGAAATTGTCCTTAATATTTTTGTACCACAATTCTTTCCACAGTGGTAGTAGCTGCTTATCTAGAAAGCTGATTCTTTACTCTGTGAAGTTGAACTTAAACATCCTCCAAATCTTGCCTTATTCCTGTAGACAGAGAAATTGTGTTCATGCAGTATTTTATTTTTATGCATATGTGTGTGTGCGCAAACACAGTGGAACAAGAAAAATAATTAAATTGAGGAAGAAGGGAAATACATTTCCCTGTGCTTAACTCAGTTATCCAATGCATATCTTAGTGGGGTCTATATTAAGATGTACACACTGAGTCATAGTAATAAAATTCTATTACTAAACATTGCATTATGGACAGCAAAGAGTAACAAATAAAACCAGTTGTTTCAGATTTTCTGAAATGATTGATCTTTTCTCCCTTCTGTAATCCTTGTCACAAGTGTTCTGCTTTTTGGTTTTGTCCATGCTCTTATTTAGACTGGTGTTTGCATTAACAGCCTGTCAGCTTGGTGTTACTTAGAAATGTACCAGTAAAAGTAATTTCTAATTAGTCCAAAAAAGGAATCTGGTTGTTAACAAAAAAATATGCTGTGTTTCAAAGATCCCTTGAAAGTTGACCAATACAAATGTTTTGCATTCATTTGGGAAGCTGTTTGAGTCAAGGAGTGAGGCTTTGCTTGTCCCTCTCCTGAGTTCATGCACTGGCAAAACCACACTGCTTGTGCTGTCATTAGTTTATTTTTCTGTCCTGTGTAACAATTTCCTAGATAATTACAAAACAAATAAAAAGACCCCTGTTCTGTTGATAGGAAGGAAGCATCCAGGTGTCAGACACAGCTCCTGTACTGAATCTGTCAGCAATGGAATGAAGAAAGCAGCAGCTTGGGAGGAGAGCAGCCAGAGACACGAGGCAGTGCAATCACCTTGTGAGGAAGACTTCAAGTACTCAGCAAGGATTACAACTCTGGCTGAAACAGAGAGGCTTTTTGATGAGCTGACTCATGAAAAGCAACAGGCAAAGATTATTTTTGTTTTCAAGTTGTGAGAAATCATAATTGTTCTATGAGAGGTGAGGGATGGAGCCATTTATCCATGGAATACCTGGCTGAAATTCACCCACAGCTTCAGTGTCACATCAGGAATGTGCCATTATCCTTCCCTGCTCTACTTGCAGTCCTTCCCTGCCCCTAAATTCATTCAAGGAGAGTCACTGTAACGAACACAGTGTGGATGGGGGTTGGCACAGTATTATGGTGTTAAAGAACAAAACTCTCCATGTATCTGTAATCCATACACCTCACCTCTCCTTCTCTAAGAGGAGTTAGGAAGGCTCTTATTGGCTCTTGAAACTAATTTACAGCTGAAGTGTTTTCTGTTATTAGATTGAGGCTGCACTGAGCCGAATCCCTTGTTCTGGTGGAAGAATGACCTTGCAAGCAAGACTAAATCAGGTGAAAAAGCTTCTCTGTATTACTGTTCTCTTTTGTTTTCCACAATTGAGAATACATAATGTAGAGGAAAGATCCTCTGGGTAGTAAGTGTGATTACTGTGGGGAATTTTTATATGGGTTTTTATATTGTTTAATATCTTCTATTTTTTGTACATGGGATGCATTTTGCCAAATTATTGTAAGAATAGTCTGTTCTTGTGCTAAAAACTGAGAAGGAAATAAAGGCAATGCATTAACAAAATGCAGTGACTATGAAATAGATCCCTGAAGCTGCAGAGAGGATGTTGTGCTGAAGGAGGAATTAAAAAGTTCAGTTTTTGTTTGGTTGGGTATTGTCTCCTTGAAAGTACAAAGAAGAAAGTAAGAAGGTAAAAATATATGGTTTAAGTGGAATACAGGGAAGTGCTTTTTGTGGGAAACTGAGACTCTTCTAATAAAAACAAGTCTCAAAATTGTCTTTTAGAGGTCTCTGCAAAGCCTTCAACTTCAGCATTTCCTAAATTGTAATCCCAGGCTAATATTCTTAAATATGCCTATTTCCTAAATATGCCTAATATTCCTAATTATCAGCCTGTCCTCATTCTTGTCAGGTTTCTCTCATGGAGTTTTATTAGTCACATGTTAAAAAAGCCAACAAGTACATAAAAATAACATCACAAGTTTGTAGGTCTGGCTCTGGTTTTTGAGTGATAACAATGCACCTAAGGCCTCAAAAAAGAGACCAGGAATATAGGAAGGATAGTAGTTTCCTAATTTTAGAAGGATCACTGGATTTCGTGATGTATTATTAATGCTTTTTGTTCTTTCTTTAAACTCATCCTTTTAGGAAGCCCTGGAAGATCGTTTGGAAAGAATTAACAGAGATTTGGGGTTAATACGAATGACTCTGAAAAGATTTCATATTTTAAGAACCTCTGCAAATCTTTGACAGTTCTCTCTTGACTGCAAATATACTTCTTTTTTTTTGCACTAATATATAATGATGCACTCAGTAAATGCAAATTGTTTTGTATTTTTATAAACCCTGAAAAGTAGTTTTGCAACCATGTTACCCTTTACAAACAGCAATATTTTGTACTTCAAACAGCCACCTCTATTTTAAATGTATTTTGTTACACCTGAGAAATCAATGTTTATCCTGTATTGTAATATTTTTAGAAATATCGATTATTTTTAAATAGTGATATTCAATTTATAATAAGAAACTAAAAGGCAGCTTGTTTTCAGAAAAAATGGTAGTGTTACCCTTTTGCACTTGGTTTTCCTCCACCATTTTATAAATATTTATGGTGTGATGTAAATATTAGCCAAGAGGAGATTTTGGACTTTAATACAAAAAGCAACATGAGTTACCTGTGTTAAAGACAACCACTGTTCTGTGGCAAATCCTTTTAATTTAAACCTTTCACATGGATGTTTCTCGTTGGCACAGAACTGTGAGCAACACTTGCACTTTGGCTGGCTGGGGCAGGAAAATCCTTCTCGGATGGATCTGATGCCTCCCAGCAGTCACAGTGAGGGGTGTTTTGATACTGTGAATACCAGGATTCACCTGGCAGCAGCCTCCTGCCTCCCAGTGAACAGCTCAACTCCAGCTGACACTCCAGGACTGGAACTCCTCACGTGAAGTTGCTGGTTCCCTGTGCCAGGCTAGGTTTTGTGCCAGTGTTCTGTTCCTGTACATTTCATGTATTTGTGAACATAAATTTTTCTTGGTGGAAAAATACATACTTGCCAGTTGACATATTGTTGCATTACTGTCCAACGTTGATATTTTGGTTTGTATTTTAATATTAAATAAATGTTTAATTAGATTCTTTCCTCCTGCCCAAGTACAGTAATAGGCTCTGGGATATTACATCAGTGATAATGTAGGTTTTAATCATATTGTGTGTTTCAAATTCTGTCCTTGTTCAAGATGTTTAGCCACCAATGATGTGATTACAGGGCCAGAATAGCTGTCATAAAGGAAGCTTGAGAAGGTCTGATTCTAAAATTAGAGTGCTGTGGTTCAAGATATTTGATGAAGAATTGTCCAACCCATGCATGGTCTTTTCAGAAGGTCTGTAGTTTTTGCAACCCCTTCTGCCCTGTGGGTACTTCCAGTGCAAGATCAGAGCTGGGGAGAAGTCAAGGATGGGAGTTTCTCATTTTCTCCTTTACTCCAAAACGCAGAAATTGGGTCTGAATGCTTGGAGAGGACTTGCTCCAATGTATTTCCAGTCTCCACAAAGAGGCGTACAATTCTGATGGCATTCCATGTTCTCACTGGTAATTTTTACTTGGAAGGGGTGGAGAGGGGGGAAAAAAGAATCTTTACTTCCCTGCTTAGCTCTATTCAGCTGCAGTTTTCCCACTATTTTGTTATTAACAGGTGCAATTTTAAAGCATTCTTCAGAAATATCAGTCAGCCAGCAGGATTTTTCCAAGGAATCCATCACAGGAAAAATTCATGAGTCCAGTAATGGTCTTGTTTTCTTTCATCAGTGCTACAGCAAAACCAAAGAATTTTCCTGACAGACATTAGAGGCAAGTAGGTAAATCAGCTCAGCTCTTTCACTGCCTCTCCTTGTAACCTCCCTTCATCTCCACTTCATTCTCTCCAGCACTATTCATATTCATGGACTCTTTTTTATTACATGCAGAAAACTGAATTGTGAGTCAGAATTTATTTTTTAATCAAAAGTTCTCCTCCATCTGTTGGAGCTCTTTAGGCTATTTCTGTTCTATTATAACATTGAAGGGGGAAAAAAGTGTTGCTTTTAGTAAACTTCTAGGCCAACCTTCTCAAATATCTGTGTGACCTGTTCGGTGTGGTGCCTTTGGCCTGATTCATCAGAGGGGCAGAGGCTCTGCAGTTCCAGATTAAATCGGTGGGAGGCCTGAATGCTCAGTGCTCCTGAAAATCAGACCTGAAGCGCCAAAAACTGGGACACAGGGAGCGTTCACTGTGTGCTGGCCCTGCCCTTTGCTGGACATTGTCCTTTTGCTTATAATCCCCTTTCAACTTCCCCTTAACGTGAGAAAATTGCCTCGTTCTCTCTTTGAGGACACATAAGGATTTCCAGATAACCAGAGAGGCTTTTGCTTCCTCTGTGGAGGACTTTAGTCATCTTCCTCTCGTGTTCTTACCTGACACCTCCCAGCTATGTTGGCATTTATCGCCTTTCCAGATCTACAAGGTCCTGCCTGGAGCCCCAGGCTCTTGTCTGCCTCAGTTTGCCCTTGCAAGACACTCCCATGCATATTTTTCTCTATGACAATAAACATTTCAGCTCCTCCAGCTCTGAGATTTAAGCTTTGGAAAATAAAATTTCTGTTCGCATCTCTAGAAAGCAAAATTTTAAAATTTTGTCTTTGATAGGTTTAGGCATAATCTGCCTTGCACAAAGCTGAAACGTGGATGATAATTTAGTGTAGAAATTCAGGGAGCAGTTACAAAACAAACTGCGAGTACTTTGCAGAAGGGAAAAAGGGCTGGGATGATGCATCCTGAATGAGAAACAACCGCAGGAAATTAACAAAGGTTTAAAAGGCCACGCTAAATTTCATCGCAGGATCTTTTCCTGAGGTTTCGGCATAAAACAATCGCCGAACTTTTTGCGATTTTTATTTTTCCGCAGTAAGCTTAGGCGAGAGTAAAGATCGATGAGTCCCCAGCGCTGCCCTGAGGGCAGCTGAGGGCACAGCGCGGGCTGGGGCTCGGTAAGCCCCGTTACCCGCGCTGCGGCCACCGCTACCGGCAGCGAGCGAGCCCGGCAAGGGGCGGCGAGCGGAGGAAGGCGGTACGAGCCCGGGGATCCCCGCACCACCCGTTCTTTCTTTCTTTCCCCGTTCTTTCCCCGCTCTTTCTTCCCCTCACGGCGGGGCGGTCCCGCTGCCCGCGCCCCTCAGCGCGGCCGCTAGGCGGCGCCCCCGCCCCGCCCGCCCGGCTGAGGGCGCGCGGAGCGGCGCGGGGAAGGAAGTGGCGGCTCCCGGTGCTGCCGGTGCGCGGGGCTCGGCTCGCTCGGCGGGCGGATAAATCCGCGCGGCCCGCCGTGCCACGGCAGGGCAGGGGCAGTGCCGGCGCGGGGCTCTTCGTCTTCCCCGCTCCCTCCTCCCCCGCAGCCGCGGCGGCCTGCCCGCCTCGCCTCCCCCCCGCCTCCGCCGTCCCCGCGCCGCGGCAGCGCCGGCGGGCGAGGAGCTGCCCGCGCCCGGCCCGCCCGCGCCGGGGATTATGCCAGCGGTGCGCGGGCATGCCGGCAGGCAGCGACCCGTAGGCAACGGCAGCCGCCGAGCCGCGGCGGCATCGGCAGCAGCAGCAGCGGGAGCCGCGGCCGCCGCGCCGGGAGCAGCCGGTGCGTGGCGGGGGGCGCTGAGGGCGGGCGGGGGGCGGCGGCGCGGGCACCAGCACCTGGCGGCCCCCGGGCCGGCCCGGCTGCGCCTCGGCGGGGGCGGGAACCGCGGCGGGACCGAGGGGAGCCGAGCTGGGCTGGCCGGGCCCGCGGAGGGGCCGGTGCAGCGCGGGGGCCCCTCCCGGGACCGCGGAACGGCCCCCGCGGGCCGCGGCGGATCCCGGCCGGCACCTGGAGGGTGCCGCGGCCTGAGCGGGGCCGGGCTGTCCGTCCTTCCCCGGGATGCGGCGGTAAAAGTTTCCCGATGGAGCGGTCGGTGACCGGGAGGGCCCCGCGGCCATGGCAGCGCCCGGCACCGCACGCCGGGGACGCGGGACCGCAGCCCCGCGCTGCCGGGGCGCGGCGTGAGGCGCGGCCGGTGCCCGGCTCTCCCTGTGCCCGCAGGTCGCGGGCGGCACGCACCGCTCCGTGCCCGCGGGGCACCGGGCACGGGCGGACGGACCGAGCACCCGGAGCGCTCGGGGCGGCGATGGGCCGGGGTCAGCCCTCGGGACAGCTCCGTCCTGGCCCCCTTCCTCCGGTACCGCATCTCCGAGCCTTGAATTTCACCGAATTCTGCTCTGGCAGGGGCCCCCGGTGGAGGTTCTGCCGTGCGGTGGCCTAGGAGCCCCTCGGACGGGGCCTGGCCGTGGGGAGGGCGTGAAGGGGCTGCCGCGGGTGCCTCCCATCCCTGTGGGAGAAGAGCGCAGCAGCCTCAGAGAATAAAAAGAATCAATGCCGCTGGCTGATTACAGCTGAGGGACAGCCCCGTGACATTTCGGGGCTCGAGGCCCCCCTGTGTCAGGGCACTGCTGGCCGTGCTCCTCAGGCGGTGCTTTTCCTTGTGGAAGTGGGAGGAAGAGATTCTTCCCTTTGGGAAGAGCGGAATGCCCATTCCTTAGCTGGATGATGGGCTGCAAGAGGGGATTCTTTTTGCTGGGCCCGGCAGTCCTTTCTCCTGGCCTCCCCACCCCTTGATAGAAGGGGTCCTGCCTTGTGTTCCCGAACAACCCCGGGCTCCATCCTGGAGCGTGAAGCTGCTCCGTGGCTACAGCGTGAACAGCTCCAGCTTTTTGCCCAGCTGTGGGAGGATTAAATCCCTTCCTTCACGTCCTCCCCAGCCTCTCCTGCTCCACAGAAGAAGCAGAAGCACAGAGCGCACTGAGGTGCTCAGCCTGGGGCTGGGAGCGTCATTCAGGGAGCCCCTCAGAGGAGCGCCCTGCTCAGTCAGCTACACAAGCCAGTCCTGTCACATTTCACTTTTAAATGCCACGACTGAGGTGAAGTTTATTTAAACTATTTTTTTAAAAAAAAAAAAAAAAAAAAAAAAAGTTTCTTCATGTGTTGGTACCTGCTCTAAAGTGATAGCTTCCATCTTCTTTGTGCTCTGTGTGTCTGGAAGCTGCTAAGTGGAAATTTGATGTCAGGAAGCGTCTTCAGTCTTTGAAGACAGAATCTGTGAGTGCTCAGCTCTGAACAGGAAAGTGACAATAGATCAGTCTTTGTGGACATCAGGACTTGAATAGGCGGATGTTTGAGCGCCTGTGAGAATATCAGTGGCTGTAGGACTCCTTCTCCCCCGATGGCACCGATTCCTGTTCCATGCCCACATCTTTTTGCTCGTGCTGTATTTTTATCGCCGGGTTTATTTTTGTCATGACTGCGTTGTGCTCCGGGTAACACAAGACGACTGCCTGCCTTACAGAGTTCAGCACTGGCTTCTGGGCGAGGGGTTTTCCCCCCACCCACTGTTGAGCAGGAGACTGCTGTTTGTAGGGCAGCTCTTTTCCCTCTTTTCCTGTGGCAGACCTCGTGCCTCCGATGGATCTCTGAGTGCCTGGTTATTGTGACAGGTAACCAGCTCCTTGTTGTGGCCGCAGGCTGCTCGGTAATTGAAACGTCTCCTCGGGATATACAGAATAAAGAATGGCCAGGCATGAAAGCATTGTTGCAGCCTTGTCTTGGCTTGTGGTTTGTATCAGGATTTCTGCTTTGTGGTCCTTGCAGCGCGTTCTGGTTGTGGCAGCATCTCTGAGAGGGGAAGAAATGAGCAGCCGGGGCTGGGAACGCAGCTTGTGCTGCTTTTGATGGAGCAGACTTCTGGTAGGCTGCTGGGCTTCATTAATCATATTTAAGTTTCTGTCACTAACTTTTAATTAAAAGCATAGTTGATACCACTTTAATGAACGTACAGATGTTAGCCATCTTCATGCATAAAAATGCTTTTTAATTCCCTTACTATTCCCTTTATGGCCCTTAGATGCTTTTGTTGCCATCTAAACCGTGTACAGTAGCAGCTCTTTATCTTCTTAATAAAACTTTTTCTTGCGTGTGTGTTCGGGAAACAATAATGGTTTGAGTAAACAATTCCCTGGTATCTTTTAGCAAAATTCTTTTTAGAACTTGGCAGAAAGGGTCAGAAGTGGTGCCTAAATAGTGAA